TGACTGGAATTACAGGGATTTGAACTCAAGCAAAGTCCCTTGGGTTGCCGATGCAGTAGACTGGGGTTCGGCTGTCCCATCCTTGTTGCTGATGCCAGCTTTTAAGACCGGCTGAATTTGATCGATCAAGCGGTTCGAATGGTCTGAGTTTCGGGGTCCTGAGTACAGCTTGTCCATCAGAGCTACGGTCTGTTTTCACCTGGTTTTCTTACAAGATTGTAGATGATAATGTCAAAGAGGACCTTGTCAATCGTTGTTTGTGCGAATCAAATTTGGATGGCAGATATTGGCTTTGTAGGACGCGTAAAGCAGTTGCAGGTACCCAAGTTATTGGCATCAGAGAGGAATTGAAAAGAGATAGTGGTGTAGACCCGGTCTAAAAGAGGAAAAAATTACCAAGTTGATAGGACTTGATGGGTGGTTACGCATATAATGAAGATACGTATCCTGATGTACATCCATCTTAAACCGTCGCCGAGCGAGCGTTGACGTGATAAACAATAGAACAGATTTTAAACAAATGGGTCTGATTGGGTGGCAAGTAAGTTAGTGCTCTTTTTAAATCCCTCCTTGTCCTTGAAAACATAGCTCCTCGATCGTTATGTGCCGTTCAAATAATTTGGATAACTTTGGAAAGAACAGAAATTGATTTAGCTCAATTTTGAACAGACCGACGGATTGACATGCTCTTACTGAGTGTGGCAGTCCGTTCCATAACACGAAGTACCGAACTAACGAAAAGTTCGCACATTGTCAGTGCAAAAGTTTCCATTCCTTAAACTGTAGCCATTATCCTCCTTAAACTCCAACTGCATACTTGAGCTGAAGCCGAGTTGGTGGCTCAGATTTTAGTAAAGTTCCGCTGCAAACGCGCCAGTAATATTAGAAAGCACTTGCGCATGTAATTAAATATGAGGAGGCAATACTCCAAAACTGGGCGTTTGCAAATGAACTATAGAGCAAGTTTGCGTTTAGGTAAGATTATTGATTTTCCACCTAAGGGCTTGACAAAGCTTGCTGAACATGTGTTGGGAATGTTAGTAGTTCATCACGGCTAACTTAGGTCACGGATGGACTAAGTGGTGTGAATTTATTCCCCCTTAAGAATTCAGCTGCCGGGTCGGAAGCTACATACATGACAGAGAACGTGGGAATTGTGCACGGAGAATGGAAGCAATAATTAGGTTAACCAGAGTTCTAGGGTTTTCAGGTCTGTCAAAATGCTTTTGGTAATTATCTGCCGATATTCATTTGAAACATACAGCCTATCATCATCTCATCCGCAAAGCAATGATTTTTCACATTCAACGTTGTCGAAAAGGTTGATGTAAATGAGGAACAAACTGGGACCAACAATGTTAGCTTTCTGAACTCTACTCCTTATTACACTTGATCGTAATTATAGCTTATCCATTAAGACAACCTGTGTGTGCTTTTCCAAAAAATAGGTAAACTACGCTAGGAGTGGGTAGTGTACACCGAACAAGTTAACCTTCAACGAACGCCGCTTATGTTGTGTACAATAGAATGCTTTATTAATACAACAGAAGGTCACCAGTGCCGACGTCGTTGCGTCTACAGCCGAGGTCATGTATTCCTGAAAACTCGAATAGCAGGAATTACATGAGCGTGTACTCATAAATGCCTGTTGTTGATCAAGTAGGAGTCAGTTTGTTTAAAAATATTTAATTAGCGAAATTTTGCTACTTTTTTTCAAATTCGCTTCAAAGGTTGGCATTTGGTTTGTTCGTCATAATTACCTTAGGTCGCTGCGAATAAGAAGCAGTTACGACAAGCACATTATACTTCTTGAGGGATGAACCGCAGTCACCAATGTAGGCGCGCTTAGGCTTCACACGCCATTGGCCCTGGCGTCCAGTTAGATGAGTGAATTCTTGCCTTGCGTAGGAATCCTTACTACTTAAAGCAATCTGTCGAATATCCGCATCATTTTTAGGTCAGTAACAAGATATCTGAAAAATGACGTACCCTTTTCATTGCACAGTATGGATCGATTGGAAGTGTATCTTGCAAATTTGGAATGATATCAACCACTGACACAACAAATTAACAAGAATAACAAATAATCCGTCACGACTGTGGTAAAACTGGGCACACGTCTGGTTTACTTGAGGCGAGCAATCCTATTCGTAGGCTAACATATCGAGCAAGGGATTCCTTATTTCAGTAATATGGGTTGCACGGGATATAGGAAGTGGTTGTGCAAACAAGTAACAAAATTCAAAATTAGGTTTGAACCAACAAGTATACAGCGAGAGATAACTCATGTGAGGAATGCCACTGTCACTTCTGTATTCTATGACATACTTAAAATCACTGAATTTGCTACTTCATCTATGAAGTACCACAGCAGAAGACTTTGCCGACCAGCTAGATAGATTGTATATGTGCCTTAAGGCTTCATGTTAAGTGATTATAACGAACTTCAAAATAATCAGGTGTTTTTGCAATAGCATCACAGCCCAATACAAACCAAGGTTTTGCGATGATTCTGAACCCATCCAAGCCCAGCCTTGCTAAGGCTGCGAGAAATGCAAATAATTGGGATCTTTCTTGTTCTAACGCAGCAGCGCTACTACATAAAGATGAATCACACAAGAAGAGAACGAATTACAGGCGGAGAATGCAGTCAGACTGGAGTGAGGCTAGTAGCTTTCGCCACGCTGTTTCATGCTCGGTAGGCCAAACAAACATTTGGAGTTAAATAAATAGAACATATGGAAAAGGATTGTAGCCGAGTTTCGAGGGAACATTAAGGCTTAATGTAAGGTTCCTCTCGAAGGTTTTATTTAGCAATTGTCTGTAGGTGATTTCAAATCAACCAGAAGATTAAGACAATCGGTATCAAGGCTATGTCCAGCTAAGAGGGTAGTCTAGACAACTGGCTTCTTTACCATATGTTGCACATATGTTAGGATTTAGGTTTATATTATCATCTTCATATCCCTCCAATATGTTTAATAGGCGAAAACTCTAGGTACTTTCGTCACAAACGTGCAGACCACATCCTCTTAGTAGATATTAATGCCTAATAAACACTAAAATTTAATTCATGATATCCTGAAGAATTGCCATCAAGGAAGAAAACGATGACGATAAAAAACTGGGCGCATTAATAGTAATTTGTTAGCAGAATGACTCACTAGGTGCTATGTTAAATAGGCGTCCTACCAGTCCAGTTTGAGAAAACCAACAACATGTAAGCAAGAAAGAATGGCTTCATCTTCTTCGGTATTGCAACTAATCTGACACAGTCTGTAGATAGTCACCAAAGACTGCGTGTCTGACAATATGAGTTTAATTGTGGGAAGATGGATGTTGCTCTTCGAGAGCTCGGCAATAGTAGTAGCACCCATTTCTAAAGCAAAGAGATTACAACATTCCGTACTGGCTCCCTTAGTCCATATGACAAAATTTGTTGTTATTCAAGTTTGGGATATGGAATGACCTAAAATCCTCACACAACCAGACGCCATAGAGCAGTACTGAATCAGAGAACGAATCTGAGCCTCGGTATATGCACTGGACAAAAGCGGAACACGTAACTTGAGGGCGCTTATAGCTTTCAACTAACGAATAGATGGTACACGACTTGTGACAACAAAATTGCAATCGAGTTGATTGCTGTCTTTCGCCAATAATGGCAACACACCGCCGCCTAACACAGGAAAATTATGACCAACGAGACCTCGGATGTTAACTGAAGTTGGATGTATGTTAACAATAAGAAGTAGGTGGTGAAGACCAGTAATTCTACACTGCCTGTGTCAATAAGTAAATCACATAATTTACCGTTTACTGTTGTGCAAATGGCCAACCCCTTAACAGTCGACGTTACCAAAGTGACATCATCGCACAGCTAGACTGTGCTGTTCACAGGTGAAGTTGAAACTGTACATGGTTTCGCAAGCCGACAATACGAATATCAAACTTGCCCAGATGGGAACACTGAATTTCGGTGAGAACAAGTATGACAAGAAGGTAAATTTCCACATAGGGCACAGTGACCCAGTCACTTAGATACTGTACCAGGCTTAGCAGAGTTCTGGTGCGTTCTCTTACCTGGAGGATGGTCACAAGCTAACTTTGAGAAGTTGCACTGCCACCCGTTTTGTTGTTCAACGAAAGAATTGTTTTTAGTAGAAACGAACAAGGTTTGTTTCTAAGAAGATATTTTCTACTTCGATATTTCCTAAACGTCTTGAAAATTCGCACAATGCAGTTTGATCAGGAAGATAACTCAAATGACCATAGAGTGTTGGGATCGTAATTCTAGCAATTAAACGATCTCTGAGATACTCGTTCATTATATCGCAAAAAGAACATCCATAGGCTTAATCATGCAACTGCAAAATAAAATCATTAACGTTCTGGTTTGGTTGACTTTGCAAGACATGAAAGTTGGCTCAGTTTGCTACCACGAAATACGTTGGCAGCAAATGATCAAACAATACAACGCTCAGCTGCTTGAACAGTTTCTATTGTAACTTGAGATTTGCCAAATTCTTCAACGTTAAATAAGTCTCCCGGCCAATAGCATACATAACAATGCAGCCTTCAATTATTCTTGCAATTCAGGCTTCTTGAGCCCCCATGGCTAAAAGCGCGAGGTATTCCATAATTTCCAGTGGGGAGGAAGTTAGTTTCATAATGTTAATATTAGCATTCATCTTGAACTTCTCACTTACCATAAGGTCAAATGTAATAATTTTGGAAGCTGGAAAATAGCAGTATTCCAACCGAAGGTGGCGTCGAAATAAACGTAGAAAAACCGAATTGTACTTTCGAACTATGCGGTTTTTATATTTTCGATATCATTTGTAAGGTAACCTAACCAATATCATGTAGTACAAATTTGTAATCAATACAGCGATTTCTTGTGAGATAAATTTCGATGCGTCCATCGTTTCATTGAGACTACTTGAAAAATGAACGTTTGTACGTCGAACAAAATATCGAATTTCCTTTTCTATTTTTAGTATGCTGCGATTGTCGGAATAGTTGCCGTCGCTGTAATCATGATTGTAATAATTTACTTTGCAACGAAAATGAAAGTAAGTTTTGGTAGCTTCACATTGCAGGCAAAATTTGCTCATTACAATATACTAGTCATTTTTCATCTATTCAAGAACTGTTAAATAAGCATATACTTGTTCTTTATCATTTTTGTATTGTGTCCAGTACGGAAACCTTGCGGTCTTCGGATTCTTATCAGTTAGGTTAGTCACGATAGTTTGGAAGCGCTGTAAAGTAAAACGTTTTATTCAGGTGGCTGTATAGTTTGGTTATACTCGTCTGGAAAAATGAGGGTAATTACTAAAATTTGATGATTGATACCAGTCGGTAAGCAAAAGCGAAAAGGCTACACATAAACCAGTAGGGAACAGAGAGTAATTCAAGAAGGCATTCAAGGTCACTCAGACTGTAACATAAGGTTCGGCAACAACAATGTTCCAAATCAGCATAAACTTACTCATCCCTCCTCTTGATGTACGAGAATGGATAGCTGTTCTGTAAAAAGGGAATAAACTGGGCAACCTTGTGTGAGACTGAATGCTATCATCTACCGTTCGATATATGTTGCTAGTAGCTAAATCTGACGCTACTTAAATCATTTAAAGTTATTTACCAACAACGCCACCACATAGATGTAGATAGCAGATCAGTTGTTGTGTACGTATTCTAGAGCAGAGTTTGGGTAGGTGCAGAAGAGATCTGTAGAGTCATTTCCGATTATGCTGCTGAATTAAGAATCTCTAACCGTTCGATCAAAAAGACACAGTAGCGACGACAATTTTTGAAATATGATGAGGCCATGTGTTATCCTAGATGCATCAATTAATGACCAGCTGACGTCCTACCGAATTCTCAAAAATTGGGTGAGCTGATAATAGACCAAATAAGTGTGATGAAAATTCAGCAGCATGATGAGAGCTTTGAAATCCTTATCTCGAATGATGAATAATGAGGAATCCTAATTAGCCATATCAGTGAAACGATTTGCCTATTAGCTCACTGACGTCAATCTATCACCATGAAACAGTACGGACAACGGCTTACTGACTCACCTGGACGGACGAAGTTTTGTGTCAAAAGCAAATGGTTGCCCAACAGACACGGTTACCGATTGTTGTTCCGAATCTCTCTGCTCTCATAACTTCTCAATCAGTTTCGAGTATATGACATGGTTATAAAATCACCAGATAATTCTTAAATTTTAAGTATACAATCTAAGGATAACGTTAACTGCGTCAATACGTTTTTGTCTATATGCAGAATGCTTAAAATTTGATTTGAATGCGTTAAATTCAATTGTTTTATTGAATAAACTTTGTTTCCTTGCGATCCCTAGGGCCGCAGTGTTCAGGAGGCAGTTTATATTTCAACAGTTATGTTCATTCACGGGTTGTCTCCGAATCTTAGCGGTTCTCATTGAAAATGACAAAGAGGTCACATTTTTGCCATTGTCACCACCGTCAAAATTTCACGGAACCACATTGGCAGAGAGACAGATATTCGACGTCATGTTTAAGTGCGCGAAAACGTTAGTCAGGATGTGGATAAAAAAAGCTGTTGCTTTACCTTCCGTGAACCCTAGACTATGCCATATTCCTGATTTTTTCAGCTTGGAGAATATTTTGGACAGCTCTTCTCGGACAGTGTGCGTCGATACCAGTCCATTGAAGCAAATACGGCGGATAGCCTTTTGATTGGATTACTTCAACCACAGGTGCGTCTGAAGCCATACGCTATAATAACTAACAAAGCGCTACGCTTATTGTTTCCTAAATCATAATTAAATAGAAAAGTACGAACATTTTACTTAGCCAGTAGTTACCCACAGACACGATAACAGTTGGAAGTGTAAACAACCATAATGAAATGTTTACAAGGAACATTGAACTGAATGCAGATGAAATAAAAACTTATGAGAAGAGTCACTATAGTGCAACAAATAACCTTAAGCCTTCCATTTGTAGGAGAGAACATATGAAATTCAATTTTGCTGCATATATAAAATAGTAGTTTGTTACCTTAATATTTCACAACACGCTGACTGTTGGTGAGCACGATAATTGCAGAATGGTGATGCGTGAACGCCTTGGTATGAAACCATGCTGTGTGGGAGACAATGCATCTAATGACGGAAGCAGCTGTAACATACTCTTCTTCCCCATCTTTATTGCCACGTTGGTCAAAATAGGTGTTAAACAAGTTGGCCTGTAGTTTTCTACTTGGTTAGGGTCCATGACTTCAGGAATCGGCAGCGAAATCAGCGCTTTCGATCGCTCAGCTATGTAAATTTGGACAGCGACTTGTAGAACAGATTAGCCACTCCAGGAGAAATGATGAACTATAAGGAATTTAAAATTAGCGGCCCGAGCCCTTTAAGCCCAGCATGTTTGGTGCTGTCAATGCGGACGAGAGGTTGGCGCGCCTCTTCCACACGACATTTCAGACTGTCCAGTTTGGTAAGGGCGATGTATGTCGAACTCGAGAAATGCACCTAGTTTTTGCGGATCCGAAAGCGCAGTGCGCCGCCCCTGCGGATGCACGCTCGTTTCTGGGGTTTGTGGGCTGTCTGTCCGAGACTTCTAGTACTGGTAGGTCACCTGCAAGCCTCAGGTGACGCTTCATTTAAGCAAAGATTCAAGTCAGGACGGTCTTTGCAGTGGATGCGTTGCACTTTTAAATACCGGCGCTTGCTCGTTTTTGCATTGTTGCAAGTAGTTCGCTGCCTGTTATGCACCTCATAGTCATCAGCCGAAATTGTCCTCACGATTCGTGCTGCCGTTGAGCCAGTTCACCAGAATGCTTGTCGAAACAATTTGATTTGACCGGTCGGAATTCCAAACTTGGGGAACACAACCCGTCTGCACAACGAGTCCACTCCATTTTTTTAACTGACTAAGACGTTTCAGCATAGGCAGCATGCGGCGGCGACCTACCCACTCGACTCGTGGGTCGAGTTGAAAGGTTGAACTCAGTTTTCCATTAGTTGTAAGCTGACTGCAGTGCGTTGGAATACTACAATGGTAGCCCCATGTTGCCATTAAGGTGTGAGTGGTCCCTTGCTATTTGGGGTTCCATGATTTGAACGTTATACACATGGTGTTCACAGCTTGTTAACAACAATATTAGATTCGACGGACTGTTTGTGGCATCACGATGTCAAAGGATAGGTTTGGATTCCAGTCGGCTTATTCGAATACAAGTTTAATGGACAAATATAGAAAATGTAGAGTATTCAGGTGGCTCCGTAGTTGCAGCAGCCAATTTAGCCAGTGACACAGTGAGTTGGCACTTTACTGGTAAACTTAAGGCTGAATATATTCTGGGTCGCTCGGCTGGATTGGTGAATGTTATGGGGTTAAAACATAACTCGTGTGCACCGTATTTATAAGCAGTAAATGAACAGTTAATAAAATAGAAATAAGCATACCTTAGTAATAGTTCTGCATATCGATAAGATGCATTTTGGATTAGTCGAAATATGTAGGTATTAAACTTCAATTTTTCAAGCACTTTTTAAAATAGGAACAAAATCCGTTTAACGTCTCGCTGCGGCTATCACAGTGAGCAGATCTACTGATACGACACAATGTTCGGCCAATGACTGATGAACGTGATAATAAATTGCGGCTTATCGTACGTCGTGTAATAATGAATGCCTCATTAAGCAGCATTAGTGAAATATGCTCTTGTACCCTGTTATCCTTTTCTTTATTTTTCTCCTCAATGTTATGCCGTCTTATTTTATTTACAGGTTAGTTTCTTTAGCTGTGCTTCATTATTCTGCGGAATGGAAAACAAAGTTGACCGCTGTGGCAACAATGGAGAAGTTGAAGAGCGAAGCAACCTACAGTGGGAAAATTTGCATGTTTTTAATAACCTGCTAACTTTAAAACATACTTGTTTTATTTGTTCTGACTGATGGCTTACAAGTATATATGAGACAACGCGAGAAATACGATGCCGCTCAGTATTCAATCAAATGTTTGTTTTTTAAACTAATTAGGCGATGACATTCAGGTTGCTGGTTGTCGGGCATAGGCTGCAATCTCACAAGTACATTCATTGCGGAATATTCCGACAGCAGACAACTGATATAGGAAAAAAAAGAAAGGAGAGGAACGAGGAAAAGGAGTATTGTTAAAAGAAAGAGGAGAGAAGATGAAGGAATAGAGAGAGGAACAGCAGAAGAAGAGAAAAAACAAAGGGGAAGAAAAGGGGGAACAAAAGAGAAGAGGTGGTAACGAAGGAAAAAAAGGGGAGCGAGGAAAGTGCGGAGGAGGAATAAAGAGGAGAGGGGAGGAAAGGACGTAAAAAGAAAAAGAGGAGCATGGGGGAGGGAGGGGGGTATGGGGAGTAAAGAAAAATAAAGAAGCAGATGGTAGGAGAGAGGGAGAAAAAAGGAAAGGAAAAAGAGGAAGGAAGGAGTGGGAATGAGTGGAAAAAGATTGAGAGCGAAGGGGGGAGTAGAAAAAAAGTAAAGGGAGGAGAATGAGGGAAGAAAAGGGAGGAAAAGGAGGGAAAAGAGAAGGGGGACAAGGAAAGAAAAGGGTAGGAAAATAGAGAAGGCAGAGAAAGTGAGGTGGAAGTGTAAGGGAGAGGGTAAAAGGGCATGGAAAAATGTAGGGCGGTAATGGTTGTTTGTGTTTGGATGTGTTCGGTTGGATAATTTGAGTGTGTCATACGGGGCGGAAAGGTGAGAAAGTGAACAAGAGTAAAAAAGATTAAATCAAAAAAGGGGACAAGAAAAGATAAAGAAAAGACAGATGGGGGAGGGGGAAAAAGACAAAGAAATAGGTGTAAGAAGCCACACAAAAAAGACAGAGGGAGAACGAAAGAAAAGAAGACGAGAGAGTTTGAGGAGGACGGGTAGGAAAGGGACGATAGGAAGAAAAAAGGAATGAGCACACAAGGACGGACGGTAAACGATGGGGAAAAACGATATAGGAAAGTTGTCGAAGAATTAACTATAAGTGTGTCACACCAATTACATCTGTGGGAAGTAATTTTTATCGTGATTGTTGCTTATTTTTTGCCTTCCCCCAACTGATATCTCTCCTACCTTCCCTAGTTTTTGTATTGTTAACTTTGTCTTCAAATTAACAGATTATTCGACCCAACCATTTACCTTCCCCTCCTTGCTTCTATCCTCTCTCTTATCATCATCCATTCCAATCCACACTCTTATGACTCTCCTCAGGTCGCGTGCACCAAACTTATACTACTTTTCTTTCCCCCACACGCCCCGACCTTCTCCTCCTTGACCTCACTCTCCTTCCTGTTCTCCTCACTTCTTCTTTTTTCCACCTTCTTCCTTCCACCCCCGCTTTTCTCTTCCCCCTTCTTTTTTTTTCCTTCACTCTTTCGCTACCCTAGTTTTCCCCCTTTTCCTTCTTTACCTGTCATGTTCCCCTTCCCCTCCTCTTCGCCCATATCACCCACACTTCAACTATTCTACTACTACTTAAGATTTTTCCTTTCTTTTCCTTTTAAATCAGCGTTTATTTTCCCCCCCTTTCCCTTTACGCTCCCCTTTCCCCCCCTTTTTCTTTTCTCCCTTTTTTTTTTTTTTTTCCCCCTTCTTTCTTTTTTTTTCAACTCCATTTTTTTTTTTTCTCCCATTTCCTCCCTTGCCTAGCCCGTTTTTTTTTTTCCTTTTTCTATTTCCCACCTCCTTACCAACTACTCTTAAATTCTCTCACCTCCTTCTTCCCATCCCCATCTCACCCCTCTCCTACTTCACCCAGCTAGCCTAACATAAAATCCTACACCTAACATAAACCCAAAGACACAACTCATCTCAAAAGCGCATGGCTGCTCCCCCCCCCTCCCTCCCACTCCCCCCACACTCTTCTCTACATCCCCCTTTTCCACCTCTACTCTCTCTTCCCTCTTCTCTTCTCCTCTCTTTTCTCCCGTATCCCCTATCCCCCCTTCCCTTCTGCCTAACACACTCACAACCTACTAACACCTTTCTTACTATTGTAATGCTCAACCCATCCAAAATGCTTCAGCACCAAATGCCTCAAACAACTCCAACAACACAATATATAACATTCCTATCTGTACGTCATCCCAATTCCGTTATATCACTTATCTTTATCACTAACACATCAGCGCCAACAAAACAAGAATAAACACCTCTCCTATCATTCATTATCATCCTCCATATGAACCACCGCCCACGTTCCCACCACATTATTATACATCACGATCTAACTTTTTATATGGATATATCCATATTTAAAAAACCAATGGATAACGCCCACCACAATAATCCGATATCTCCTTATCATACTATTGCAACGATTATTAGTCAAACAGTAACCTACTCTCAGGAGGAAACTTCTAACATCCACCCCCCCCTCTCCATCAAAATCCCCGCAAGGCTTTGTAGTATCCAGCCGACAGCTTGCTTACCTGCCGATTAAATACAGGAGGTTGCTCTGTAATTTGTTATTCAACGTTTTTTGTTCTACAATTAAGAGATGCATGCACGATCAAGTACGAACTTTATACTTCCTATGTATTACACATCAGCTGCAATGCTGCGGGTTCGACAACTCCACAGACTTCATAAACATGATAAAAATGGACAAGTATGACGGAAACCAATATGATAGTAAGTAATAAATGTTCGTTGATATTCTAAGTTCAAACTTTTACTGCCTCCTGGAATCACTTTATTCCCCTTCCATGTGTAAAAGCATGATCCTTCTATTCTCATACAGATTGCACTTCGTCTGTATTAGCTCTATTACACCGTCAAGATTGCTTGGCTCTATGCAAAACCCATGGAATATTGTAACTTGCACAAAAGCTTATCTAATGGACCAATGAAGCTCTTTTATATTAATGTGGCTTTAAACTTAAAAGCTGAGTAACACTGATTCCGAAAATATGCTTTTCACTGAACCCTTCACCAAAAGCTTTAAGTTCAATAATTTTACTTACAATGGGCTTATGTCAGTATTGCTATTGCTTTTAAATGCATTAGGTCCGGTGGATTCTCTTTCCAAAAGACTAAACTCGCATTAAAGTAGATTTCTGTGTAGCACAGCAGGATAGAAGAATAAGTGTGCTTGTGATACCTCTGACAGCACGTAATGGTAAGATGCTCACTACACAAGTCGCATATGTTCTTGCAGAAGTATGTACGTAACGTCGAGGGGCATTAGTGAAATTACAAAAGTGACGTATCCAAATCCAACCTAGTGCAGCAAATTAGATAATTACATTCTCAAATGAAATGGTTCCATTCCCGAGATCTGAATCTTTTACGGCTTCACTGCTTGGCTAATAAAACCAATGTACGAAGTCAGCTAGCATTCCGCTGAAACTAAACATACTAGGTTGGAATTAACCATTGTCACTTATAAGCAGAAATGGCACGTCTGCATTGCAAATTTTGCGGTATACGTTATTGACCTAGTTCGGTGTTCCTATTTGGGTCACCATTTAGCCTACAGAAAACTAGGATAGACCACTTTTGCCACTGTTTGTGCTTCTCAGCATACCTGAAATATGCAAAGGATTGACTTTTTAATTGCGCCAAAAGCAGATTAGTATACACTCATTTGCTCGATAGAGATTTTGGTAATACCAACCAAACCAATCTGACCTTATCTGGTTCCTGCCGAAAAGCAGCCTCTTCTGTTAACCGCATGATTGGATCGTTTAAACGTGGCTCCGGCCTAATGCACCCTTAGAACTTCCGCCTACTCCTAAACGCCTTCTTCTGTCCTCACTTGGAGTTTGCTACCAGGCTTAGAGCTTCTGGTTGCTCAACCATCAACGTATGTTTGAAGCCACACAACCTCAAGTGACGAAATTAGTACGTGGTCTCAGACAATTAGATTATCCACTACGACTTCGTCGCCTTGGTTTCGTCTCCTTGAACAGCGGTAGCCTTCGGGGCAACGTGCTCCTTGTTTTTGCCATCTATCTAACCCTGGACACTCCTGTTGTGATTTACTCAAAACGTACCACTCATGCTCTAATCCCTGTGGTCACCGACCCCGGCTCGCACGTCAGCACAGCCGGCTGAATTGCGGAAGACACTACTTCACTCAACGAGTCTGCGGACGGTGGAACACCATGCCTGTCAACTTTGTCTCAGCACTTACTGTAGTCGTTTACAAGACTCGAAGGGGGTAGTCATATTTTCAAACTTCATCGCGAACCCCAGTGAGGCAACTGGCTACTATTATATTTCTTATAACCTAGACTAGCCCCGGTCAACTCCCGGTTGCTTCTCACCTGAGCCAGCAAACATTTCTTATTCTACCTCCAGCGCTCCCGGTTTACATGTTAAAGGAGTCCTCTTTTATAAATACTCTACCTTATTCTTTCCTTAGCTGTTTTAGCAGACGTGGTGGGGTGTCAAGCTTTGAGCCGGCGTGCATACGCTTTAAATATCACATAAGCCCGATGAAGATACGTCTAACACGCGAGCCCAACCCGCCATTAGGTTGTATGGTTTTTTCAAAAGACGCGACCCTTATTCTTTGCACGTTATGAATCGTCTAACACGACAGCTTTTCTTCATATTACCTACAATGCACCAATGTTCCAGAACACTGGTTTACTCGTGAAATTGTTTAACGAAGCGGAAAAAGGAGAAATTCAGCGCACTCTTTCCAACCATCTGCTACACAGAAATGGCAGAAATAATTCATTTCAAACTGAACTGTTGGGGTTCGCCTTATCATATACGCAGAATTTGATCGTCTTTTGATTTAGGTTGGATAATTTGCCTCCAGCGCTATAGAAAACGCTAACAAACAAACTTCCTACTGGATAACTTAGAAGCTGATGGAGGGATTTTGGGCTACTAACCGCTATTGATGTGCCTAAAATATCCTCTACTAATTAGTAGTTTTCATCCTTTCACTTCTATACAAGATATACATTTAAAGCAAGCGCTCATTTAGTTACCGGCAAACTCCGTTGTACTTTGCTCCAAATCTACGGAAATGTGCAGACAGTCATTGAAAACACCACTTGGCGACACCTTTAAATCGGCTGTCCCTTTCTCATCGAACATCCTTTTCTACATTTTCTACGGTAGAGATATCGATTTTGCATGATTAAGCAGACAGACCTAGTGCTCATTAAAATGCCAAGTTTGCTGGGATCAATCTACTATCTCCACCTTTTGAATATAAGCGCTGCGATATCGCGCATTATGCCGACCTTTTAACACAAGATTTTAGGTCGGCTGAAACGAATTGTAAAGTGAGCTTTTAGTGAGGTGTTTTCCACTTCGAATGGATGCAATTCCCGAAGATTTAGACAAGCAATATTGGATCGTTGTTCGATAATGCTATGATAACCCACATTTCTTGCCGTTCTACCAATTTGTCAACTTAGCCATTTTGGTTGTACCCGTTTATGAACTTTAGAAGTGATAATGTAATATAACGTACATGTAGCTTATGCTGACTTGACTTGAGTACTACCCACGCAACGCGATTGAGATGCCAAAGATAGTAGCTAGATCTGAGAGCCTAAGTTATATTTTTACTATTCACTTGAGTTTAAAGGAAAAGCTTTAATGAAACAGTAGAAACGGATCCAATAGTGGTGGTTGCAACGAACACTTCCGGCCACGCGTTTGGACTGCAACACATGATCTTTTTCTGTGTGATGGTTTTGTGTGAAGTAAGCCTGGGCCTTTAAAATGGAGACTTTTCTGTAACTTTGAGCCTCGGTTTTGCATTACCCCAACACTGCACTCCATAACTAGTGTTGTCCTTGTTTTGACTAATTAGTTAGATGCTGCCCATATTTAGAGTAGAAACCTGAGCACTGTGGTTGACGGCTTAAATGAAGCTTAATAAAGCTGTGCATACTTCCAGTAACGTTCGTTTCATTGGTCTGAATGTTAGGGAGCAGCATGACTCAAAGCTCTTCCTATTCCACATTCTATAGCATGATGGTTCTTGAAATAATGACCGACATGCAGGTAGACTTTTGAATTTTTAACTGGCGACCAGGAACATTGGTTTTACTCATAATATCTGCATATATTCATAAGCTAAACAGCGTACGCTGACTACTGTCCGGCCTGTGTGCAGGATACACGGTGGACTGAATGCCGGCGAATTACCAAATAAAAGAAGCATGGGTGACATCTTGTAATCTTGACTAACTTGAGGCAGAGATTAATGCGTTCCGAAACCGACATGCAGTAGTGTTGGAAAGCAGAGATAAAATGTTACCGCTGACCTGTACCTAACTACTTACGACACACACTGCTAACTCTTTAGTAATGTCTTCTGGCTGGGTTTCAGAATTGTTTGAAAATGTGGTTGAGGCCTTTAGAGTCTGCTACATCATTATGAGATCGTCATGTAGACACCGATAACATCCGAGGTGCACTCCAAGAGTTCACAACCTGTTTTGGTGGGGAACGAGGGACCAACGCTTAATATTTATTATCACACGGTGTGTGCAATACCGACTGCAGTGGGGTGGCGCTTCTACCAAAGCCCCTCACATTTTGATACCACATTCCACGGGCAGCTTTCTGTGCACACCAAGAAGTTGTGTGATAAATAAGAAAGCCGAAGTGTTGATCTAACCTTATAATGTCTTTTAGGAGTAATTCAAAAAGTTAAGTATAACATGCACAAGCCCACCGTGATCACGCTTGTCAAATACGCGCTCTAGTATATTTGTTCCTAACCGGTAGCCGTGAGTACTCCGATTGCACATGTACAGAACCTTACGACTGGGCGCGTTAAATTGCAGTAAGTTCTCGATGGATCTTACGTAAGCTTTAACCGGAACGTTTTGCAAGGTTGTGTGAACCTCCATTGTAGTGACAGCATGCTATATCGATATATCATCTAATATAGTTGAAATTTTGTATTGACACCCCCAAAATGTCAGTTATGATAATCAGGATCAGGTATGATCTGACTACAGAAGGTTGAGGAGCACAGTACTGAACTTCGAATGAACCTGCTAAGACGCTGCGAACCCTCAAATTCACGTGCCGTTGAACGTGAAAGTTGCCTATCCAGTGCAAAACGTCGTTGCCGATTCCATACCTCTGAAGCATCTGAAGTACAACGTGATGATTGTGAGGATCGAATGTCTTCGAAAAATCCGGATGGACGACCTCTACTCTTATACCAGCACACATAGTCTCCGTCAGGTATGCACGAGCTATCGGCAGGTTAGTAGTACAGGATCGATATTGGCAACATCCGTGCTACTACTACGTGGCGAGAGTTTTATTGCTCTCCTGGTATCCCATGGGCACTTGAGCTACATTAGACTTCATGCTTTTGGTGATCAGCAGAATTAGTTGTAGTAACCAATACTTTTTTGGTTCTACATAGCTATCACCAATGCAGACTGAAGGAAAAACCCGTGCTCCTACAGCTTGGAAACATACATCTCGGCCTAACGCATGGCAGCAACATTCAACGTCTAGAGCAAATATCCTCTGAAACAATGGGGCTGTATTGGCTCAAGGATATCATTCGTTTCAAAACAACTCTGGTGGTATGGGAAATGCGGCCGAACCCTGGTGACTATGTGAGCTGCGTAGGATATAATATGACGGTATAATTAGGAGGAAACAGCTGCATTGCTGGCCGAAATGTTTGG